ACCGCCAGTAGGTACATGATAGAGCCAAGATTTAAACAGGTCTGCCTGACTCCAGAGGTCCATGCTTTTAGCTGTTGCACTACTTAACTACTTTTCTGTGTGCTGTTACCTTGTTTGAAGGTGAACACTATTAAACCATTTTATTACCTGGTGTTTAAAGAAGCACTGGGGTTTCTGAAACTAAAATTAATACATACATATTTGCTATTTTAACTTGAAGCATAAGTTGCAATGGTGTATTCACATGACCACAGACTTTAGAATCAGGCTGCTCGGGTTTGATTTAATCCTAACTTCACACCTTCATAGCTGTGTGAGTTACTCTCTTCAGACCTTTGTTCTACATCAGTAACAGGTGTATAGTACTGTGTATAATACTGTATAATATTCTTACTGTGATGGTGAAGATTGTACGGGAAAGCTTTTAGAAGAATGACTAGCACACAGCTGATGTTTGTGAGCCACTACTTTATTATTTCCCTTTTACTTTCTTTTAAACTCTCCATTTCATTAGGCAGTATGCAGTGTTGCTCCACGTGGCGTGTATGTTTGTGGTAATACCACAACCACCTCTGGTTTGACTGTAACTCTTTCAAAAGATAGTTCTTCTGGAGATTTTGCTTTGGAAGCTGGTGCCCTAGTACTTGGTGATCAAGGTAAGAGGCCAAAGCACATAATAATTCTGGGGCTTTATTTCTTTTAAGTCTTTCTTTTTCAATTACTTTCTTTACATTCTGTTCCAAGAGTTATTTGGATAGCACTTTCCAACCAGTGAGTTGAGAATGAGTGCCAAAAAAACTAGAAATACCCATCTCATTGTTTTGTGTTTTCAGGATATGACAAATAGTTTTTATAAGAAAGCTAGTTGGAAGTCTCAGCAGGAAGAGATTGACAGTTGGGCTTTGCTGCCTGTTTCTCTTTGTGATGTTTTAACCCTACTGGGAAAACATATACCTATGTATGTGTCAGGCAGTGTGTACCCAGATTCTAGTCCAGTTGAGATCATTCATTCCTTCCAGTTTGCCAGCAATGTCACATTTCTAAATCCAGTAACTGTCAGCCATGTTTGGCACAGCTGATGACTGCATCAATGGAACACTTTATCTCCTTGGTTTCCAGGACACTGCAACTCTTCTGATTTTCTTCTTTCTTTATTCACTGTTCAGTCTGTCTTTACTTGTTCTTCATCTCTCCAACCTCTTAACTGGCTGGCTCCTCAGAGTACTTAGTTTTTGTAGTATTTCCTTCTTAGCCTGTACTTATCTGCTTGGTTATTTTATCTAGTTTCATGGTTCTTCACCTACCTATATGCTGAAGTTTTCCAGATTTATGTTTCTTCTCCGTTGAACTCCAGGCATATATATCCCTTTGCCTATGCAGTGTCTCTGCAACTTTCTCAAACCTAGCACATCCAAAGTCAAAATTTTGATCTTCCCCTCTCAGTAAATGACAGTTCCATCCTTCTGTTTGCTCATATCAGGAAACATGAAGACATTCTTAATTTTTTCACATACCTCACATCCAGGCTGTCAGCAGACTTTGTTTGCTCTACCTTCTGGACACCACTTAGCTACTGCTGCTGCACCATCATCTCTCGCATGGATTATTACTGTGATCTCCTAGTTGGCACTCCTGTGACCACCCTTGCTCTTTCTATTGTTTGTAACAAGGCAGAGAAATCCCATTAAAACTTAGATCACATTGTTCTGTTCAAAACCCTCCAGTGCCTTCCCATCTCACTTGGTGAAAGCCAGGTTTGATAGTGACACAGATGCCTTTTAATCACTATTTCATATTCTGGCCTTTAATCACCTCTTTTGCCTCATTATCTACGCATTTCTTCACTCTTATTTCCTCTTCCCCAGCTACCCTGGCCTCCTTGCTATACCTTGAAGTATAGTACCAGCACTCCAGGCATGTCATGTTCCCACATCACAGCCTTTGTACTTTGGAACCTTCTTACTCCAGATAGTTTGCAGGGCTCTTCAATGTTTTGTTCAAAAGACCCCAGTGTGACCTTCCCTTAACAACACATTTTACACTGTAACCCCCACCCCCACTGACCTTGTTCTCCTTATCCCACTCTGCCTCTCTTGCCAGAGCATTTTACCTGCTCATATACCATATGGTTTACTTTTTTTATTGTCTGCCTCTAACACTGAATGGAATGTAACCTTCACAACAAGTACGGAGAATTTCGTCTTTGCACTGTTACATCCACATGCCTAGAATATAGTCTTGTTTTTCAGTCGATAAATCATGTCCAATTATTTGCTACCCCATGGACTGCAGCACGCCAGGCTCCTCTGTCTTCCCCTGTCTCCAGGGGTTTGCTTAAATTCATGTCCACTGAATTGGTGTTGCTATCTAACCACCTTACCCTCTGCCGCCCACTTCTCCTCCTGCCTTCAATCCCAGCATCAGCTCTTCGCATTAGGTGGCCAGAGTATTGGAGCTTCAGCAACAATCCTTCCAATGAATATTCTGGACTGATTTCCTTTAGGATTGGCTGATTTGATCTTGCAGTCCAACGGACTTCTTGGTCTTCTCTAGCACCACAGTTTGAAAGTATCAATTCTTTGGCATTCAGCTTTCTTTATGTTCCAGCTCTCACACCTGTACATGATTACTGGAAAAACAATAGCTTTGACTATACAAACCTTTGTTGGCAAAGTGATGTCTTTGCTTTTTAATACACTGTCTAGGTTTGTCATAGCTTTCCTTCCAAGGAGCAAGGGTCTTTTAATTTCATGGCTGCAGTTACAGTCTGCAGTGACCAAGAAAATAAAATCTGTCACTCTGTGTGTGTGTTAGTCGCTCAGTTGTGTCTGACTATTTGTGACCCCATGGACTGTAGCCTGCCAGGCTCCTCTGTCCATGGGATTCTCCATGCAAGAGTACTACAGTGGGTTGCCATTTCCTCCTCCAGGGATCTTCCAGACCCAGGGATTGAACCCATGTCTCTTAGGTCTCCTGCATTGGCAGACAGGTTATTATCTGAGCCACTGGGGAAGCGCTAACATCTGTCTCTGCTTCTACTTTTTCCCCTTCTAGTTGCCATGAAGTGATGGGACCAGATGCCATGATCTTAGTTTTTTGAATCTTGACTTTTAAGCCGGCTTTTTCACGCTCCTCTTTCACCCTCATCAGGAGGCTCTTCAGTTCCTTTCCACTCCCTGTCATTGGAGTCGTATCATCCACATATCTTGAGGTTGTTGATATTTCTCCCAGTAATCTTGATTCCAGCTTGTGAATCATCTAGCCTGGCATTTCACATGATGTACTCTGCATATAAGTTAAATAAGCAGGGTGATAGTGTACAGTCTTGTAATCCTTTCCCAATTTTGAACCAGTTCGTTGTTTGGTTCTAACTGTTGCTTCTTGACACGCATACTGGTTTCTTAGGAGACAGGTAAGGTGGTCTGGTATTCCCATCTCTTTAAGAATTTTCCACATTTTGTTGTGATCCACACAGTCAAAGGCTTCAGCTAAGTCACTGAGGCAGAAATAAATGTTTTTCTGGAACTCTCTTGCTTTTTCCATGGTCCAAGAATATTGACAGTTTGATCTCTGGTTCCTCTGCCTTTTCTAAATCCAGCTTGTACATCCGGAAGTTCTCAGTTTACGTACTACTGAAATCTACCTTGAGGGAGTTTGACCGTGACCTTGCTAGCATGTGAAATGCAGGCAATTGTACAATAGTTTGAACATTCTTTGGCATTGCGCTTCTTTGGGGTTGGAATGAAAACTGACCTTTTCCAGTCCTGTGGCCTCTGCTGAGATTTCCAAATTTGCTGGCATATTGAGTGCAGCACTTTCACAGCATCATCTTTTAGGCTTTGAAACAGCTCAGCTGGAATTCCATCAGCTCCACTAGCTTTGTTTTTAGTAATTCTTTCTAAGGCCTGCTTGACTTTACACTCCAGGATGTCTGGCTCTAGGTGAGTGATAATACCATCATGGTTATCCAGGTTATTAAGACCTTTCTTGTATAATTCTTCTGTGTATTCTTGCCACCTCTTCTTATAAAAAGCATTCAGTAAATATTTGATGAATTCATAAATTCTAAAACATTTCTTTGATTATTGTATAGCTCATTAGAAGTGACAATATTTTTACTAAGTTAGCAGATGAAGAAAATAATAAGCAGGAAGAGGTTATTCAGATGGTAAAGAATGTGTTTGCAATGCAGGATACCTAGGTTCGATCCCTGGATCAGGAAGACCTCCTGGAGAAGGAAATAGCAACCCACTCCAGTATTTTTGCCTGGAAATTCCATGGACAGAAGAGCATGGTGGGCTACAGACCACAGAGTTGCAAAGAGTCAGATACAAATGAGCAACTAACACTTTCACACTTTGTTAAACTGTCAGATCTTCCATTAAATAGAAGTTGAAGGTGATACAGTGTTTAGCTGTGCAGATTGCTAATGGGATTTAAGATGCAGAGTGTTAAAAGTCCATGGCCATCTCTTTCAAATCTATGCAGATAAGCCAAGCATTATGATGGTAAAAATGTTACTGTTAACAAAATATATATATATATTACTGTTAAAATACAAAAGAATATTAGTCAACAGAGACCAGATTCTAGAAACAAATATAACCCTATCAAATAATAAATAGGATCCTACTAAAATCTTTACTGAAGACTTCCAAGGGAGAAAATGAGAAATAGAGCTGTTTTATATTTCTCTTCTTCAATATCTGATGAAATAACCAAAAAATTGTTTGAAAACAAGCAACAAGATATATCAATTGTAGACAAACTAGAAAGAGCTTAAAATGTTCATAATTTAAACTTTATGCTTTAAAACCAGGTATTGGCAAACTTCAGTCCACAGATCAACCCACCCTTCAGCCTGTTTTAGTGTAGTCCACAAGCTATTTCATTTTTTAAAAATCTTTTTCTACTTTTCCTTTTTTGGGGGGGCTGCATTGGGTCTTCATTGCTTCCTGAGGGCTTTCTCTAGTTGCAGCAAGTAGGGGCTACATTTTAGTTGTGGTGTGAGGGCTTCTCGTTGCAGAGCACAGGATATGTGGGTTTCAGTAGTTGTGGCGTGTGGGCACAAGCTATTTTAAAGGACTGTAAAGAACAAACAAAAAACCCAAGAATATGTGACAAGACTGTATGTGGCCCACAAAACATCAAAATCTGCCCGTTTATAGGAAAAGATTGCCAGCTCCTGCTTTAAACTTTGCAAAGTGGCAGAGAAGTAGCTTGACTTTATTCCTACCCTGTCCCCACCTCTGAAGAACTATTACTAGTAATAGTATTACTATTACTAGTATTACTAGTAATCTCAAGAATTTCCAGTAATACCATCAATTCCAGAGAGGTCTGCACTGACCTAGAATAGGTATACAGAGGATTAACCATAGCAAAGCCCTTGGGACATGACCACCAAATTATCATGGTATGAAGAAGAGAGGAAAAATATTACAAGATAATGTTAGAGGGCCTCCAATAACCTCTGGATTAGATGTAAAATACATCTGGCACATAAAATGCCTTCATTCAGTGATGGGTCTTCATATTTAAAGAGTTTAAGTGTACAATTAACTGTACACTTCTATAGTTAACACCTGGTATTGCTGAGACCTGCACTCTAGTCTTCTGACTTTAGAGCCCATGTGTTCCTTCCCAAATCATGCTGCCCACTGTTCCCAAAAGACCCAGCTCATATAGCACCTTTTTCTTGAAACCTTTCCAGATTCCCCTTCCTCTTTTAATCCCACCCCACCCCCAGAAAATTCATATGATGATGCATATCTATTATAGTTGTTAAATACACTATCTTGAATGTGTATATCCTTATCTCATCTGTTCAGATTTAACTCTTTAAGCTTTTGAGACTTATTCTCATATCTTCATTTTTGTAACCCTCACATGTAGTGCTTTGCCTGTGGAAAATGCTAATTAAATAACAGTTAAATAAGACCAATATTTTATTTGCTGTAAATCAAGCACAAATTTTGTACTGTATGACACTTCATAATTTTAACTGCTGGAAACTTATGGAAATATGCTTTATTGTGGAATAATTTCTTTCCTGTTAGGTTTAAAACTTGACCAAAGGAAAAATTTTTGTCTGAATTATTTTACTGTGGTTGCAGGTATCTGTGGAATAGATGAATTTGATAAAATGGGGAATCAACATCAAGCCTTGTTAGAAGCCATGGAACAGCAGAGTATTAGTCTTGCTAAGGCTGGCATGGTTTGTAGCCTCCCTGCAAGAACTTCCATCATTGCTGCTGCAAATCCAGTTGGAGGACACTACAATAAAGCCAAAACAGTTTCTGAGAATTTAAAGTAAGTCTCTTCAAATATTTATACTTTAATATATTGAATCCCTATAGATATGAAAAAGATAAAGATAATTGTCATATGGATATTTTACAGAAGTTGCAAGTTTCCAATAAATGTACAAAAATGTGTTAGAACACTCCATTAAAGCAATGAAGTGCTATTGACATCTACCAGATTGGCAAACATTTTACATATTAATCATTCTTGTCAGTGGGGTGGGGAAATGGAATCTCACATACATAGTTGAGATTTTGAAGGACAGCTTGGCATGTTTATCACTATTTTAAATGTACTTTCTTTGTTCCAGCCATTTCTTTTAGGAGTTATATTCACAGAAGTAGGCACAAGAATACACAAAGATATGTTGACAGGGTGGGTTTTACAGAATTGTTTATCACCATCACAAACTGGAAACAACTTGAAATGCTCATTGACAGGGAAGTGGTTGAACTATATAGTAAGACTATACTGTGGAAAGCAGCAGTTAGAAGAATGAAAGTAGCTTTGCATATACTCTGATAAGAAACATGTCTGTGCTTTACTGTTAAGTGATAGGAGCACGTTACCTGCTTATTTGTATGTGTGATGTGATCCTACTTTTTTCCAAAACCAGTATTTATATCTTTATGTGAGTATGCTTTCTCTTCTAATTTGTTCTGTACAGGTTGGACAAAATGTTTGGGAAGGGGAAAATAGACTCAAGTGATGCATAAGTGAAAAAAAGACAAAAAGATGCCTCAGATGAAAATTTAGAACTTTAAAACTTCTAGTGGGAAACAAAATGCTAATTTTCTAATATTTAGTAATAGCTACTTTTTCTTTTCTTTTTTTAAATCTTCTGGCTACATGTTGGATCTTACTAGGTCCCCAGCCAGAAACTGAACCCTCAACCCTGCATTGGCAGGGTGGAGTCTTAACCACTGGACTGCCTGGGGAGTCCCAATAATAAATACTTTTATTGTAGAAATGGTACATAGTAACATACACAATTTTACTTTGAGATTCTGGGTATTTCTGTACTACCAGCACCAAAAAAGCCATCTTACTAGTGTTTCTTAGTAAAATGACAAAGAAGATCAGAAAGATCCTATTGAACAAGGATCCAGGAGACTTAGATTCTGATTTTAGTGGTACCACTGGAATGTTAGTCAGATTCTTTAATCATTCTGGATTTCAGTTTGTTGGTCTCAAATAAAGGAGTTGTGTGATAGGTAGATTCAAAAATGATTAAGTAGGACACAGCACTTTTACTATAATGACTAATAGGCATATAGAGGTATATTTGAGAAAAAGTGGTATTTTTGCTTCTAAATGGGCATAGGTGCTTTTAGAGACTCGGTGTTTTGGTGAGACAAAAGATGTAAAAGATTAAGAATTTCTCAATCAGATAATCTTCAATGTATCATGAAGCATTCTAGCTTGTAATTTCAATGATCCTAAATCATCAGAAGTCATATAGAACATAAGAGAAGAATTTAGTTTTGATGGTGTGAGAAAAGGCATCCTTAACATATGGGTACATATAAGCCTGTGCACATGTGACCTGGTATGTCTCTGGAATTGGTGGGTACATTGAATCTAGAAGCTATTGCTTGTTTCCTTAACCTAAAGCTTCATTTTTTAAGTTCTACATGGAACTTGATTAGTAAAGAAGTGAATAAACAGCTTTCTAGGTTTTCTGTTCAATTCCAATCACTGTTTCTTCTTTCTTTCATACCTTTAGAATGGGGAGTGCCCTACTATCCAGATTTGATCTGGTCTTTATCCTGTTAGACACTCCAAATGAAGATCATGATCATTTACTCTCTGAACATGTGATTGCAATAAGGGCTGGAAAGCAGAGAGCTGTTAGCAGTGCCACAGTAGCTCGTATGAATAGTCAGGATTCAAATACTTCTATACTTGAAGTGGTTTCTGATAAGCCACTATCAGAAAGACTAAAGGTAAGTTTCTTCTCTTTAATAATTTGGTTCAGTTTTGTTTGAAAGTCAGAGTTCAGTGTGTTGCTTGTTGTAGAGCAGTAGTATGTAAACTTTCTTAGCAAATACCTTTTATATTATAATACTAGAGTTTATATAAAGTTCAATTGAAATAATCTAAGTCAGCTAGACCAAGAGCTAGAACTGCAGAGTTTGGTTTATTTGGAGAATATAATATTTATCTAAATATTAGAATATTTTAGAATATTATATTTATCTAAACAAGTTATTTTAGCAGAAAGATTTTATTTGCTACATATCCTTGTAATCTTGGGCCTCTTTAATCATGTTTTAGGTGGTTCCTGGAGAAACAATAGATCCAATTCCCCACCAGTTATTGAGAAAGTACATTGGCTACTCTCGGCAGTATGTCTATCCAAGGCTATCCACAGAAGCTGCTCAAATTCTTCAGGATTTTTACCTCGAGCTCCGGAAACAGAGCCAGCGGTTAAATAGCTCACCAATCACTACTAGGCAGCTGGAATCTTTGATTCGTCTAACAGAGGTTCATTTATTTTAAGTTCTTGCTCTTTTGGCTTAAAAAGGGGGTACTGGGTTATAAGATTTCTCTTAAATTTTCTGTGTAATTATTTGCTTTTCTTCCTATTGGGTAACATTAGAGATGGGTAGATAAAAAATTTTTTAAAGGTTATCGTAGAACTCAAAACCTATGGGATACAGCAAAAGCAGTTCTACGAGGGAAGTTTATAGCAATACAATCCTACCTCAAGAAACATGAAAAACATCAAATAGAGAACCTAACTTCACACCTAAAACAGTTGAAAAAGAAGAACAAAAAAGCCCCCAAAATTAGTAGAAGAAAAGAAGTCATAAAGATCAGAGCAGAAATAAATGAAAAAGAAATGAAAGAAACAATAGTAAAGATTAATAAGACTAAAAGCTAGAAATTGACAAGCCTTTAGTGAGACTCATCAAGAAAAAGAGAAGAATCAAATCAACAAAATTAGAAATGAAAAAGAGGTTAGAACAGACAATGCAGAAATACAAAGGATTATAAGAGACTATTATGAACAACTATATGGCAATAAAATGGATAACCTGGAAGAAATGGACAGATTCTTAGAAAAGTTCAATCTTCTAAGACTGAACCGGGAAGAAATACAAATTATGAACAACCCAATTACAAGCACTGAAAATTGAAGCTGTGATCAAACATCTCCCCCAAAACAAAAGCCAAGGACGAGATGGCTTCACAGGAGAATTCTGTCAAACATTTAGAGAAGAGCTAATGCCTATCCTTCTAAAATTCTTTCAAAAAATTGCAGAGGAAGGAACGCTTCCAAACTCATTCTACAAGGCCACCATCACCCTGATATCAAAACCAGACAAAGACAACACAAAAAAAGAAAACTACAGGCCAATATCCCTGATGAACATAGATGCAAAAATCCTCAACAAGATTTTAGCAAACAGAATTCAGCAACACATCAAAACTTATACACCACAATCAAGTTCAGTTTATTCCAGGGATGCAAGGATTCTTCAATATATGCAAATCAATCAATGTGATATACCATATTAACAACTTGAAAGATAAAAACCATATGGTCATCTCAATAGATGCAGAAAAAGCCTTTGACAAAATTCATCACCCATTTATGATTAAAACTCTTCAAAAAATGGGCATAGAAGGAACCTACCTCAACATAGTAAAGGCCATGTGTGATAAGCCTATAGCAAACATTATTCTCAATGGTGAAAAACTGAAAGCATTACCCCTAAGATCAGAAATAAGAAAAGGGTGTCCACTTTCTTCACTATTATTCAACATAGTTCTGGAAGTCCTAGAAATAGCAATCAGAGAAGAAAAAGAAAGAAAAAGAATCTAGATCAGAAAAGAAGTAAAGCTCTCACTGTTTGCAGATGACATGACACTGTACATAGAAAACCCTAAACATAGTATCAGAAAATTGCTAGAGCTAATCAGTGAATTTAGCAAAGTTGCAGGATACAAAATACACAGAAATCACTTGCATTTCTATATACTAACAATGAAAAATCAGAAAGAGCAATTAAGGAATCAATCCCATTCACCATTGCAACAAAAAGAATTAAATATCTAGGAATAAACTTACCTAAGTTAACAAAGAACTGTACACAGAAAATTATAAGACACTAGTGAAAGAAATCAAAGATGACATAAACAGATGGAGAGGTATTCCATGTTCCTGGGTAGGAAGAATCAATATTGTGAAAATGCCTAGATTACCAAATGCAATCTACAGATTCAGTGCCATCCCTATCAAATTACCAATGGCATTTTTCACAGAACTAGAACAAAAAATTTCGCAATTCATATGGAAACACAAAAGACCCAGAATAGCCAGGGCAGTCTTGAGAAAGAAGAATGAAGCTGGAGGAATCAACCTTCCTGACTTCAGATTATACTACAAAGCTACAGTCATCAAGCCAGTATTGTACTGGCACAAAAACAGAAATATAAACCAATGAAACAAGGTAGAAATACCAGAAATAAACCCATACACCTATAGGTATCTTATTTTTGACAATGGAGGCAAGAATATACAATGGGGCAAAGACAGCCTTTTCAGTAAATGATGCTGGGAAAACTGGACAGCTACATGTAAAAGAATGAAATTAGAACACTTCCTAACACCATACACAAAGATAAACTAAAAATGGATTAAAGACCTAAATGTAAGACCAGAAACTATAAAACTCTTAGAGGAAAACATAAAACACTTGATGACATAAAGCAAGATCCTCCATGACCCACCTCCGAGAGTAATGGAAATAAAAACAAAAGTAACCACGTAGGACCCGGTTAAACCTAAAAGCTTTTGCACAGCAAAGGAAACTATAAGCAGGGTGAAAAGACAAGCCTCAGAATGGGAGAAAATAAGAGCAAATAAAACAACTGACAAAGGATTAATTTCCAAAATATACAAGCAGCTCATACAACTTAATACCAGAAAAACAACCCAATCAAAAAGTTGGAAAAAGACC